TACCAAAGAATAGGCAAGATGTTCGTGTGGAGAGCATTATCGTCAAAGATAAGGAGGCACGGTGATATTGTTTTGAATGTTGCTTTCGGTCAGTGGAGTAACATCTTTGCTCTTGCCGGGAGGCAGGACGACGCATTCCAGATTTGCTATACTACTCTCCTTGAATGAAGACTCCATCCCACGTGCAATATAGCGCAAAGCAGTGACCTTGTTGAGCTTATAATAAGGAGCAAATTGATAATATGGGTTGAAGCACTGATGACGCACAAACACTATTTGAGGCTTTGGACAAAACCATGAGAGATCTATTGAGGTTCGCCATACCGAGTAGTGCTGAAAAGACTTTTGGTGGAAAGACAATAGTTTTAGGCGCGATTTTAAACAGATTCTACCTGTTATTCTGAAAGCAACAAGACTAGTAGTTATCGGAGCAAATATTAATTCTTCATACCTGTGGACAAATTGCAAGGTATTAAGGCTCACCAAGAACTTAGGACTACGGACCTTAGCTTCAGAGGAAGATAGACAGACAGTTGATTGGTTTTCAAAATGGATTGTAGACATCGGAGATGGGATTGCAAGGGTTGTAAACAGCGGTTCATTTGAGATCGATATTCCGACACAGTTTTTGTTGAAGTGTAGACACAATACCATAGCAACTATAGTGGAAAACACATTCCTAAGCTCGAGATATTGCATGTTTAATGAGTCACAGCTAGAAGGCGGAACGATCCTTTCGCCGACTTTAGATGTCATTGATCAAATTAATCAGTACATGTGCGACATGAATACTGCAGAAGGACGAATATATTTAAGTTGTGACTCTTTGTGTAAGGTAGAATTAGACAATGAAAATCTATTAGAAGTACACACTCCTAAATTCTTAAATAGTTTGAGATTGTCGGGTCTTCATAATCATTCATTGACATTAAAGGTCGGTGCACATGATATGTTATTGCGGAACATAGACCACTCTCTTGGTATTTGTAACGGGACGCGACTCATCATGACAAGATTGGTAGATCATATTGTCGAAACAAGAATAGCTAATGGGACACGTGAAGGAACCAAAGTTCTTATTCCCCGAATGTCTCTCACCTCTTTTGATACGAGACTGCCCTTCAAGTTCCAGCGTAAACAATTCCCGTTGATGCTTGCATATGTCATGACTATCAACAAAAGCCAAGATCAAACACTAACTCACGTTGGGTTATTGCTAAAAAAAAAAATGGTATTTAATCACAGACAATTTTACGTGGCTTTCTCCTGAGTCACCCATCCTGATGGCCTGAAGGTGTTAGCTCTAGACAAGATTGTGTTGCGACTACCAGTGTCGTCTACACATGGATTTTCAATAATGTGTAAATACAATGGATGATATTATGTTTTTTTGTCCAAAATGACAAAATTGCTATATATCTAAACAAAAATATATCCTTTATACAAATAAATTAGGATAGCAATTGATTAATATAACTAAGTTGCCAGAGAACGAGCACATTTACCTAATTTATAAAAATTTTAAACAATGATATATAAAAATCTCTAAAGTTACAGCACCGCATGCGTACATCTACACACTAACTATTAATTTGAGCAATTAGTTGCTCGAATTCAAGCAATGATAACATCAACAAACATAAACGATCCAAACCATATCTTCAATTGCAATATATAATACTTAGTATTTGATGTTATAATTTAAATAATTGTATATCGATTCAAATATTCTTAATATATTATAACAAATACATTCGGGTGAAAATACTAGTTAAAAACATATATTACAAATTGTAGAATTTATCTCAAATCTCGTCAAATAAAGCATCCGAGTAGAGGGAGTATACTGTATACTGATCATAATAATTAATAAAACTAACATATCTTGACATTCCAATATGAGTAATACTTTAGAGCATCCTCATCAGTTGAAATTTTACCCCAATTTTTTGTGAACCACAGCATGCATCTACTTCATCATCAACTATCTTATCCAATTACAAAAATCCTTCTCCCCATCAATTTTAAATTTTTTTCTCAATTTTTGTGGACTCCCATTTACTCCACTATATTTTAATTATTATTTTTATTTATTATCATTATAAAAATTATAATTACAATTATTATTTTTATTATATTTAAATTAAACATGTCAACATTAAAATAAATTTATAATTATAAAATTTCAATTCTAATATGGTATCAAAATTATATACTACCGTGCATAATTTTTGTTCAAATTTTAAAAAGTTAAATAACATTAAACAAACAAAATTTTTTTTAAAAAAAAGTTAATTCCAAAAATGGTCATATGATTTTTTCTCAAATTGATCCCTTAACTTTTAATTGCTCCAAAGTGGTCTTTCAACTAGGGATGACAATGTGCCCCGCTCCCGATGTGGATCCCCGATCTCCGCCCCGACAGAGATGGGAATGGAAAATTTTTTCGAAAAACGGAGAATATGTGTGATTCTCCGCCGGGGAAGAGGATATCCCTCCTCACCCCACCCCGTCCCCGAATATATAAATAAATAAATAAATAAATAAATAAATATATATATATATATTTATTTATTTATAGTTATATATTTATATATATGTACTAGCAGCATAAATTTATATATGTAATGAACTATATATTGCATATATAAATTTATGCTGCTAGTACATATATACAAATATATAACTATATAAATAATATATATATATATATATATATATATATATATATATATATATATATATATATAGTTTAGTAACTTAATTTTTGAATAGATTTTAAATTTTTTTATTGTTAAAACTACAATTATTTAAAAATTTAACTAGGAGTTGATGAAGAATGGGGAATCCCCGTTCCCGCTTAATTCCACGCGGGGACGGGGATGGGATGGGGAATATTTTCAATTCTCCGCCGGGGACGGAGACAGGGAAGAGGACGGGGATGGGGACGAGGTTGCGAGGACGGGGACGAGGAGTACACTCCCCGCCCCGTTGTCATCCCTACTTCCAGCTTTTGAATTTTATGCCAAAATAGTTCTCCATTAGCTTTGGAGTTAAGTTGGTGTTAAAATGAAGGGTAAAATTAAAATTTTAGATTTTGTACTCCAATTTAAAGCAATCTGTGATTCCTTTCAGCAGTCTGCGCACATATTTCTTCAAATTAGATTTTTGATCTCCTAAATCTGCAATTAAAATGTGGGATAATCAACTAGAAGGATCCCTTCAAAAAATAAATAAATAAATAAATAAATAACTAGAAGGCCAAAAAAGTTCATCTTTAACTTCATCCACAAACTTCCTAAGACATGTATATGAATATATAAGTTTTACTTTGAATTCTAATATATGTGAGATTTCAATAGCCGATATCTGGACCAAACTTTTATTACGATGTAACATAATTTAAAATATTCGAACTAATAATCTATTGAGTTCAATCAAAATCTAAAACATTTTATAAAGTTTAATTCTTAATTTTGATAATGTAAATAATGTCTAACTTTAAAGTGTAAGCAAATAAGTTATGTTTAAATAAGTAAAGTAAGTAGAAAAGATAGAAGATAGTGATAAATAAAATAAGATGATGATGAATGTAATCATAGTAATGTGGTTATAGTGACTTATAACTAAATAGATAATAGATGATTCTGTTTTCTATTTACAAGACAGTTTTTAAGAATGTTAACAGTTTTTCAAAAATTTTCAGAAATTATTTTCAGTTTTCAAAATAGAAAATTGTGTTAGTAAACATGTTTTCTGTTTTCCAGTTTCCAGAAATTTTCAGTTAGTAAACAACTTATAAATTTTCAGTTTTACCTTTCATTTTAACACCAACTTAATGCCAAAGCAAACGAAATATCATTTTGGCTTAAAATTCAAAAGTCTAAGAACCATTTTGGAAAAATTAAAAATCAATGGACCAATTTGAAAAAATACCATAGTCGGAAGACCATTTTAGGAATTAACTAAAAAAAAAAAACAAAAAACAAATTGACGGCCACTTTGAAGCGCCCCAACGGGACGTGTGCGTCACATGTGCCCATTGGGGCGACCATGAACTCAAGTGCGCGTTTTTTTTTTCTCTAACAAAAATTTTCATTTGCAGGAGAAAAAATCATTCAAAATTATCCTCTCCCACCAACTAAAAACTCATGCTCAGCTTTTCTACTCTGCAAAAATCACCAAAAATGCACAGTTGGGGCCGATGCTTTTACTACATCTACTGCATTTCATACTCCCTTCTTAAATGTCATGATCTGATTGATTTAAAGAACAAAGTATATTAGTGCTTTTTTTGTTGTTGAAAGGAGTATATCAGTGTTTTTATTCATTCACGTTTCTTTATTTAATAACATTTATACTCCATAAAAGTACACCTATCATTTTCCCATAAATATTTGAGTTGTACTACTACATATATTTTATATTTTTATCTCTTCAATTTTATTTCTTAATAGTGTGGTAATTGATAGATTAGTTATTTTTATCATGTGAATCTTAATGAAAATATGAATATCAAAATTTTGTGAGAATAAATAAAAATTGAAAGTAAAAATTTAGTGAGAGTAGTAGTAATATTTCCTAAATATATATGGAGTATATTAATTTGACTACCAACAGAAACTTCAACATCAAGATTATCTTCTTATAATATATATATATAATATAATATATTTTATCCGCAAAACGAGGTTTCTTCATCGTGTAACGTTGGTTCACTTTCAAGAGTCAATCACACTTCTACGTCATCCCAGAAACCAGAAACTGGAAATGATTATTATAATCAGAAGAGGTTAAATTTCAATACGCACGGCCGCCATTGACCCCCTTAGCTTCTCCCTGCAAATATTATTTTAATAATCAACAACTAACCACCCTTTCCTTTAATTATCAATTTATCATCTCTTTCACCACTTAATCCTTTCCTAATTGGGTATGAAACCCATTAGTGGCATTCTCTATTCAATTCCTTTGGATCAGTTTGTAGCTTCACACACTTTTGCAGACTTGCAGTAGTTCTGTCTGTGTCTGCAAACAGGAAAAAGATATTGTACAGCTGTAATCCGGTCAATGGCAGGCAGCCTGACACGTGGCAGCCGGTGAACCACTTGCTCATCTCCTGTGTAGTTTGTACTCCGTATAATGTTTTGGGCAGACCAATATCAGTAGTCATTCACGCATTGCACATTTACTGGCTTATCCCAAGGCTGCAAACAGTGAATATCAGAATCTCTCCCTTTTCTCTCTCTCTCTCTCTCTCATGGTAACTCCAATATTTTGGGTTGAGGAAAAGGTGTTTGTAATGGAGTCATGAAGCGAAAGGTATGTGGGTCTCTCTTGTTTTTTGCTTTTCTTTCATGGGTAGCTTCCTTTTCTGGGATTTCTAGGATGCCAGATATGTTTGCTTGCTGATTATACTGTTTGCTTGGCTAAAAATAGTTGGACTCAAATGAAATTTTTGAGATGGGATGGGGTTTTCAACTTTACAAATATGCTTAAATTAGTATTTAGTAGTAGTTGCTTCTCCTATGATGCATGATATAATCTCCCTCTTGCTTCATATTTGTGTTTCAGACTGGTAAACTTCTTGATCTGTGTTACAAACAATATTTTCTTTTAAACTTTTCCTGGTACTATAGTTATGCCTCTTGCTCCCTATGATGAAGTGGAAGGAACATTATATTGTAGTCTTGAGATAAATCTGCAGATGTTGAATCAGGTTATATGAATTTCTTGAAACCCCGCCCAAAGGACTAGAAGAGATAAACTAGCTTAGATTGCTCATAGCTGATCAGTTCAAACCAAGAAGGTCGATAGGTTGTTAGTTTCTGATGAGAGTCGAACTTGTAATCTTGATGTTACTAAGTCAATTAGGTTATATGAATTTCAGTGTAGTGTAGTTGGAGAAGATGGTGATCATGGATGGGCAGCAATCAGAATCTTGTTAATCCTTAGCTCTTACTATGAAGAGTACTAGGTTGATTTGTTTGGCTGGGATTTTAAAACCTCTTTACAATCTATAAACTGATTATATTGATTGTTACAATCTATAAATAACTAGGCTAGCTACTTTAATTTCAATTCTGACTTAGCTTGTTCATCATATCCAGGTTTCCTTGCCTGTATCTTGTCGACGATGAGCAGTGGCAACAATGAAGAACTGGATTTAAGGCTTGCTTTGGGATATTCTGATCAGAATAATGCGTCGAGAGTGAACAATGGCGAGTCGGGTGCAGGTGTAAATGCGGGTACAGGGGGAATAGTGGGCATGACATTTGCAGCATCTGATCCCTTATCTGAGCTAGTTTGGTCCCCTCACAAAGGTTTGAGTCTGAAATGCACTGCCACTGCCTTAGCTGATAAAAAGCCTCTTCTTTTGTGGAATATGGGGCCTAGCAATGTGACTCACAATTCACCATCACAAACCAATATATTCGACGATGAAGGTAATAAAGATGTTGGGAAAGGCAAGCTTCTAGTGACCGAAGCGATGTCTCTGTTAGACATGGAGGATGCTCAGAGAATTATACATCTCGGTAAATCTTCTTCCAGAAATGTTGTTGCTCCCACCAGGCCAAGCTGTGGAAACGAAATGGGTACGTAACGCCTTTCCTGATATCTCATAGGTCATTAGTCCTTCTTTTGAACAAAAATTCTGCAGTTTTTGTAATCAACTCTCTTTTGGCAGGAAACAGCAGTGGAAGGGAGAGATTGAACACCGGAGATACTAATAAAATTGCAGAAAATCTAAGTAAGAAAAGAAAGAAGGATGCCTCGCCCCCACAGCATATTCAAATCACTCAAAACGACAAATATAATGCAGGTGCAGACTGCTATATATAGTTGAATTTGTTTTAGTATGTGTTTCAGATGTTTGGATTTATATATGATAGTTTGGTCTGGATTCCTAGGATAGGATATGGTTTAGCGTTTTTTCGAGAAGATATAGAGGTCTTAGTAGTAGTAGTAGGGGAGATTCAACCCATAATTTTTCTTTATATCTTATTGATTGTGTCTATTCTAATCAAAAGTTAGGAGAATCTTGTTCCCAAAACCTTAATCTTATTCAATCGTTCGACTTGATTCAGGTCCGGGGGAAGAGAGAGCACAGAAGTCTCTGCAGCAAGTGGCTGAGGATAACGCGAGTGGCAATCAGATTCTGGGATTAGGATTAACGTTATCCTCTGAAATTCATTCCTCAAGAAAGTTGGGATCTCAAGTTGCTCTGAATTTGATACCTCAGCAGGAATCAAATGAAAAGGCGGCGTCTTTAGAACAAGAAAGTGGAGGTAAAAGGGAGGAGCACTTGGAAAAGCAGGAATCCAGTGCTGAAAATGACAAGCAGAAGTTGGTTACAAAAGAAGGCAGTGAACAGAACGAGAAGAGAGTTACGAGGGAGAATTCGGTGCCACTTGAAACCTCTCTAGCGTTGCGTAGAAGGAAAGGAAAGGAGAAAGTTTTCTCGGATGGTAATGGCAATGGCAATAGCAGAATGTCGAGTAACGAGGAAGAAGACAGCCACGAGAGCGTGGATAGCTGTAACAGTACGAGGATGTTTCCTCAAGGCAAGAGACAATTGCAGTTGGAACAACAACCATTGGTTGTTGGGGGCAAAAGGATCAAGACAGAATTGCAAGGGCACACTGCTTCGACCTCGAATGTTGGGAATGATAGCTCGTTTATGACTTGGATATCAAACATGGTAAATGGTTTCTCGAAAACCAATCGAGAAGAGGCTCCTCTACCCCTCCCCCTCGCCCATTCTTTACCCGGGAATGAAAGAAACCGTGGTGAGATCATCACATATTGCAAAGATGTCGAGAGAAACAACACCGGGTTCCAAACTATGTTCCACTCGCTTCTTTGCCCACCCGAGCCAAGAACATTAAAAGATGACTCTTCAACGAGAGAATCTAAAGAAGTTATCTTGCCCGGGAATGATGAGATTGTTGCATATGACAAAAACCACAACTCGGGGAGTGAAAACACGGGCTTCCAATCTATGTTTCGTTCACTTTTTCGCCCACCTTCAGTGATGCCTGAAAAAAGAATGTTAAAAGATGACCCTCCAACAAGAGAATCTAAAGAAGTTATCTTGGCTGATAAGATGATAATCGAAGCTTCACCGATTAGCTGCCACCGGGAGAGTAGTGGATCAGATGAACAAATTTTCGTGTCGAGTGATAAAGTCATCACATCTGCATTGGCACACAGGGATGGGATATCAACTAAATTCCCAATTAAGTCTTTCAATGTCGGTCCAACATGGGATGCTTGCAAGTCCACTTCAACCGAGAAGAAATCTTCTGGCAATTCCTCGAGTCGAAAGACAACCGAGGGAGGGAAGTCCTCGGGTTCTCTTCGTAAACTCAAAACCCGAAATGGAAATAACAACAGTTCCAGTCATCCTTCTGAAGCTCAAAACTTGTGGATTACTCGGTTTTGTGTCAAAGACCATCCCGGTGCCATGAACTTAGACGAATTCAAGGAGAACAGAGATGAAACAACACAGTGTTCTCCTGATCACACGAGGTCTAATCCAAATGCACAAGTTTCTTCTGAATTTCCCATTGATCAGAAAGGTCAATTGAAGAGCTCAGAGGCAATGGCGTCACTGTTTGCAAGGCGACTAGACGCCATTAAACATATCGTACCTTCAACACCTCAAAACGAAGCTATGTGCTTACCAAAAGGTGCATTTGATGCTATAAGGAGAATACGAGTGTCTCGTGGTACTATCCTCAAGTAAGCACTTTTTAATTCCTTTTCTAGTGTTGAGCATATAACCATTAATGTGCAATCCAACTATCAGCTTAAGCTTTTAGTTGAGATGGAGCACATGCTTCAATTTGGTATCAGAGCCAGACCAAAGGTTGCTTCAATTATCTAGTTTTCTCCATCATTAATATTTGACAAATTTAAAGTTATACTCCATATTTTGTTCAGATGGATGAACTCCAAGTCGTCGCTGTCACATTTAGATGGATTTTTCTTGCGTTTGAGAATCGGGAAACAGGAAGCTGAGCTAGGCAGAACAGGCTACTACGTTGCACGTATATCTGGTATGTCCTTATATTGAAATTGAAATGAAAATGTTTGTATGTATGTGTATATACTCGTATTTTAGCAACACTAATGCTACTTTATTTCTAGTTTCTACCCTGATAAATCAGAATTGAGAGGCATATGTGACCTGATCTTCTTCAATGTCACGCCTCACTTTCGACGTTGTGAATCTGCAGGAACCCAAAAAGAGAATCCCGCAACTGATTCTAAGAAATTCATCCCTGTAAGCGTTGGTAGTATCGAATGCTTTGTCGGGTGCCAGTACGTGTCCAACCACGACTTTCTGGAGGTATGTAGCTAGGCCACTTCTATTTAAACCATTTAGGATTTAGATTATTATGGCAAGCTGAGATTCAGTTCTGATGAATCTATGAGGCATATACTGAGATTCAGAAAGTCGATTCTTGGACTAGTAGAAGCTGTATATTCATCGTTTTTAGTCTGCATTGCATCCACAATATCAATACAAACGCCTTTACAGGACGAACTATTGGCATGGTGGAGCAGAACTTCAGAAAGCGGGTGGAAGGTTCCCTCAGAAGATGAGTTGAGAATAAAACTCGAAGAGAGGATGAAGTTGGGTTTCTAGAATTCTTTGGAAAAGATCAATGTAAGTGCAAAGATTTGAGCTTCATGAACATATATATATATATATATATATATATATATATATATATATATATATATATATATATATATATATATATATATATATATGCAACATCAATAGTATTCTCAAGCAGCAATAAAATTAAAAGAAGAATCTCGCTACTTGTTTTCTCGTCTTTGGCAAGGATTTTGCAGCAAGAATTCATGTTTTCTGATCTTCACCTGATTAAGGCTAAAGCTTTAATTTAAAGAACTGCATTATTGGATCCAAGGCTTTTTTTGTGTTTTTGTTTTGGATTTTGATTTTCACCTGGAGTTGTAATGCTGGGTCTATTCTTTCCATTGCTTTAATTTTGATACCATAAAGAGAAAAGAAAGCAATGGGTTATTGGAAATTTTCTTGGTTTAAGTGAATATGGTGCATCTTTTAATGAAATATATGAAAGGTGTAATAATATGAACAAATGTTTGTAAGTATTCATGAAAGGTTGCAATTATTTAAATGTGATCTTGAATTATGATTGTATTTATTTTATCATAAAATAAGCTTTTTTTTTTAAAAAAAAAATATATCGTTATCAAAGTTAACCTTATTTATTCATGAATTGAAATAAGCTTCTTTAATAAGTTGTCTTCACTTGTTACACATCTTACTTTCATCAGAATTTTATCTACTAGTACAAAGGAAGGTTAAGGGTGACCCTTAACATTTGTCACTTTTTTTAGGGGTGAATCCTTTATTAGATGTGCAATAATGATAGATAATGGAATATGTAATGATGATATATAGCTGGAGATGGGGATAGGAAAGAGATTATGTTACAGATACCGGTTCAAATGAGGATGGGATTTTTTGTGCAGTCATTGCAGATTGTACCATTAGATATGTATAAATGCATCACACAGTGTTAAAAAATATATCAAAATAAAATGTACACTTAATGATACATTTTTGAACATTTTGTGGTGCATATATGCATACCTAACGGTGTGTAACTATATGACCGCACAGAAAACACGGTTAGCATGGAAACCTGACCCTTATGTTACATGCATGCATTTTGATATGTTTTCACGTTGTGAGATTGGGGGAAAAAAATGTGGTCGTACATTTGCTTGACTTACACGTAAGTCAATAAACATGCATGTCTTATTATTTATTTTACACTTGATTGTATGAACTTTATAGTCCATAATACTCTCCAATTTCTCCGTGATCTACCATTCTACCAATAAGTTTTATAGAAGACGAACAATCAAATGATTTACTTCTTCTATTGAGGATTTTTTTGATGATAACCGTATAAGCACTTCAAACCTTAAATTAGATGGCTGGTGTACTTAGGAAGAGAAAGACGTTGGGATTGGAAATGAGAAAAATGGCTTTCGAAAATTGTTTTTAAGATTTTCTCGCGTTTGGGTATTCAAAGAAAATTAAGTCAGGCAAATATTAATTTTGGTCAACGAAAAATGTTTGCTTATACGGTTATCCTAAAAAAAAAAAAAAATTCTCAATAGAAGGATGACCAGGGATCAAGTCTCACCAACGACAGTGTGGGAGCAACCTCTCAAAGTGAGGGGTTCCTTGTGCACAGTGAGCACAGGTCTAGCCTAAGTCTCACCAACTCCAGTGAGGGGGTTCCTTGTGCACAGTGAGCACAGGTCTAGCCCAATCGTTATGCTCTGGACTCGTGTCTCTTCTTCTCCTTTTTTTTTTTTTTTTTTTTTTTTTTTTTTTTAATTTCAGATTCATTATAGGAGTATATGTTCATAACTTTATTACTATATGTTCATAATTGTAAGTTCATAATGTCAGAGCTCTATGTTCATAATTCAATAAGTGTACATTCATACTTCCGTAACTGTACATTCATAATTCAATAACTGTAAATTCATAATTTTCGAAGCTCTATGTTCACAATTTTAGAGCTCTATGTTGACAATTTTAGAGCTCTATGTTCATAATTTTATCACTATATGTTCATATTGTAAATTCATAATGTCAGAGCTCTGTGTTCATAATTTCATAACTGTATATTCATAATTGCATAACTGTACATTCATAATTGCATAACTGTACGTTCATAATTCTGTAACTGTACATTCATAATTCAATAACTGTAAAATCATAATTTTCGAAGCTCCATGTTCACAATTTTAGAGCTCTATGTTCATAATTTTATCACTATATGTTCATAATTGTAAGTTAATAATGTCAGAATTCTGTATTTATAATTTTATAACTTACATTCATAATGTCATAACTGTACATTCATAATGCCATAATTGTACATTCATAATCCCACAACTGTACATTCATAATGGCACAAATGAATAACGCCGTTAACGGTGAGACAAAATCAAATTTTTTTTTTTTTAAAACTGGAATGACGGGATTTTCTTAAAAACGACGTCGTTTTGGAGTCATGTCCACAATGCATTGTGGACACGGGTCCAGGACATAATTTGTCAATCTAGCCTCTCTGGTTCATGTTCAATTGAGTTACCATGATTTACATCCTCCCAAATGCTCTGTCCGGTCGGAGTGTGGGGATAGTAATAATGGGCTATGGCCTATGTGATGCAATTCTAGAGTGCATGTTCTCAAGAAGCTCTTAATAATGGCGTAAGGCCCAATTAAAAGCAGGCGGCCCGTTTTGTTCAATTTTCATCTTACCCGAATCCCAAACCCTACCACCTTAATATAACAGATTAGACACATAGATATTGGTTCAAACCCTAGCAGCGCCCACCTCCGACGCAGCGAAGCTTTCAGCTTTCATTTACCCAACAATGGTAACTCTATTCCTGATGCTCTTTCTGTCGCTTTTATGTCCATATGTGCACCAGTATGTATATTCCGGTTAGCCATGTTCACTGATGAAGCTGTGCGGTTTGACTACAGGCTGACGCAGAACACGATGTGGCGGCAGGGCAGCCAAAGAAGAGAACGTTCAAGAAGTTCAGCTTCAGAGGTGTGGATCTTGATGCGCTCCTTGATATGTCCACAGATGACCTCGTCAAACTCTTCACTGCCCGAGCTCGCAGAAGGTATTTTGTGCTATTCGATTGTATGGATTGCGTCGTATTTGAATATGCGGAGATTTAGTTTTGAATTTGGTTGTGTTGATTGAATGATAGGTTCAAGAGGGGTTTGAAGAGGAAGCCTTTGGCCTTGATAAAGAAGCTCCGCAAAGCAGTATGCCACTATTTCTTTCCCGTTTTGTCTATGACTTGTGTTGAGTTATAACATATGCTATTTTGTTTATATTTTTTGGGCAAATGGTAATTAATAAGGTCTGAGTATGCTTGATTGATTTGTATGTCTGATTGTCTGGTAGTTTGTAATCTGGCTGGTATTTAGAAAAGTTTATGGCTATGTATTCTAGAATCTGGAACTGGTGGCTTTGGGTAGGAATTTGCAAACATATATAGAAAATTGTTAGTTCATTCTGAAGGTTAAAGGTAGTTTCTACCGATTTATGATGATGAATTATGATTTTGAAGTGCAAGTCGGTCATTTGTATGTTTGGCAATTGATGCTTATGAAGTTTCTTGAATCATAATCAGTGTTTTATTTCTATTTAATGACACATGTACTTAAGTTCATTACATATTTACATTTCATGTTCTCAGAACCACTGATTTTAATCTAAGCACTGTTAATTATTGAACAGGAGTATGTAATCCAGAGCGAATTATATTATATTTATTTTGTTTTCACTTCATTTATGTGTAGGGCATTGTAGTAGCCAAATAGTTTTCCTTTTGATTTGTTTGTATGTTGAGGGACTTAACTGATCTGGACAAGAGACAAAATAAGAGAAACGCCTAAGGCCGAGCCCTTCCCTCGTGAAAAAAGGGGTGGGGTGGTATTCCACGAGATAGGGTATTCATTGTGGCACATCATTGATGTGTTAGGCGGACATTAATTTTTGGGGACTCCATGGCCACTTTGCAGCTATAGCTCACTGCTAAAGTGATAGGAAAGCCCTACACTTGCTAGTTTGTTCATGGCACACCTGTGCTCCATTTGATGTTAATTGCCTGGAAAAAGATATAATGCATTGCTTTGTTCTATCACCACAATATTTTTCAAAATTCTCTCACAACCACTAACTTTAGTTCTTGATCAGCACAATCATGTTATCAATTTTTGCAATAATGTTTTAATCTAATGCTTGCAATATTTTATTGTAGAAACGTGAGGCTCCACCGGGTGAGAAGCCAGAGCCAGTGAAGACTCATTTGAGGAACATGATTATTGTTCCTGAGATGATTGGCAGTGTTATTGGAGTTTACAATGGTAAAACCTTCAACCAGATTGAAGTCAAGCCAGAGATGATTGGGCACTATTTGGCCGAGTTCTCCATCTCATACAAGCCTGTCAAGCACGGTAGGCCAGGTATTGGTGCTACTCACTCGTCAAGGTTCATCCCTCTCAAGTGATACAACTCCTCATATCCAGATGCTTTTCTAGTGGTATTATCAAATTCTTTACAGTTTTGTTCAAGATGTGTATGTGCGAACCCTTTTTTAGTTTGAGTTACAGACAAGAATTTGCGGACAGGCTTAAGTTTAATGAATCTTTATCTTGCATTTTATGGAATGTTTTGCACAATGCACATCTCAAGCTCAGAATTTTATTTTGGCGGTGACTCCTTTCTATGTTCTATTTCTGAATCTGCTGTGTTCATTGAAATGTCCAATTTCAATACTCACTTGTTTGGTTGTTCAGGAGCCTCATAAGTAACACTTCTATAAAGAGTCATTTCCTACATAGAACTTATTTCTCACTTTGCGAATAGGAGAAACAAGGAGTTTTTAATGCTAAAATTGTATGCTTTTTTGAATTGATGCAATCATGAGAGTGTAGTGATTGAGTAATTCCTTGTTCTAATTCTTTGGATGATGAGGAAAACCCCACATTTCTTGTGTGATTAAATCCCAGTCTTGTGACCCTAGTCAGCAAAGGATCACAAGGAATTAAACCAATCTAGGTTATCCATAGATGATCGGACTGGTTCAAACCAAGAGAGTAAGAGATTTAGGTTTGAACTTGAATAACACGGGTCCCCATCCTTTTGTGTTGACCATTTCTTGGCAGTTTTTACGAGCCAACAGAAATACATGAGAGCAGAAGAGAAGCCGATGAGACAAACAGTAATTGCAAGTCCTATGGTATTCGACAATACAACGTAGGCTCCTGTAACAAATGCCAACACCATTGACCCCAACGCCATGAACACCAACCCAGACGCTAAATCGTACTGATAGAAGATCTCCTGATACGTCTCCAGGTAAAATGCAGAGAAATACAGAAACACTGCAGAAGTGGAGCACATGAGTGCTATGGTGTTAGTGATGACGAACGCCTGGAACGCTCTTTCTCGCGACAGAATCGCCATCCCGGCGCCAGGGCTACTGCTGTTGTAGCCGCCTGGCAAAGTGAAACCGGCCGCGAACGTCACTGTTGCCACCAGTGTTGCGACTATCAAATGCATTTCTGCTAGCTGCTTCTGCTCTTTGATTTTCTTCTGAACCTCTGGGCTATCTTGTCTCTCTTTAACCTCCTGACGATTCCCCAGAAACCCAACTTTTTTCAGTTTATATTTGATGAAGGGTGCCTGCATGCAGCCATTTCCCATTCCTTCAAAAGGATTAGTAATCACAGAAACCACATTTGATGGCTCGAACTTCAGAATAGATAACTAACAATCTAAATGTATACCCGGTCTAGTATGTATTTATCGGTGTATACTATGTCGAGCGGGGTGAAGTTTTCGTTGTTATATGTCCTCTTATTAGCTCTTGGATGAGCTATGAGGTTGCGTGGATGGCAGCGGGAAGCAGCAAGCAGATGGAGAGGGGTGTTGCCATCGCGATCTTTCTCATCGATGAGGTGCTCGAAATTGCGGTCTGCAAGCCCGAATTTTAACGTACGAGACTCGTTGTTTAGTATTGTAACATGTAGGAAATTCTGGGACTTGCTGTTCACCATCTCACAACAATCTGGGCAGTGTGAAAATATCTCTTTCAGTACTTGGGAATGACCATGGCTGGCAGCTATGTGTACTGCCGTCGTCCATCCGCCATTGCCGCCGTCATCTTGTCTGCCTGTGCGTCGATAAGCTGCCGTTTTGTTGAACCGTAGAATCTGCCTGATGGCTTCCACGTTTCCTTTCTTCGCTGCATGGTGCAGTGGAGTCCACCCCTCTTCGTCTTCTTCCTCCACTAGATCTTGCTTCCAATTCAATAGCAATCTCACACACCCTAAAAAGTAAATAGATACTGAATTCAATATATATGCCATTATATTGTAGTGGATCGGAAATCAATCATGTAGCAAAGATTAAATTAAAGGTGTGGTCTGAACAAATGGTTAACATATGTCTATAGTTAGTTAACATATTCTATACAAATAGTTAACAGTTTATGCAAGTGTCTATAAATTTTTTTTGTTATATGTTGTGTTTGTAATTATGATGTTCATTAGTTTCAATTTGTTTAGATGTATAGAAATGATTAATTACATTTATGTCAACTATATGTATAAAATTTGGAGGTTATTTTAGACCAGGACCACAATGTAAATAGAGCTCTAGTTCATGGTAAAATGACTGAAATGTGTAAGTAGGCACATGTATTTCTGAAAATATGTGGCTGCTGGGGATTGAACGAAAATATGAAAAACAGGTTTGGGAAATGAGTTTTATTATATTTCTGATCAAACATGAAACGCAAGAGAAACGCAAATCCCACTTTTTTTTTTTTTTTTTTTTTTTTTTTTTGTCTTTTCCAGCAAAAGGACCAGCAAGAAGGCCAGGAAGAAGATGAAGATGGAGATAAAATTCAGAGCAGTCCCAACAGTGAAAATAACAATAGTGCACAAACGTCACCGCCTAATAGTAGCAGTTCTCCCCACCGCCACCACCCGTTGTCGCTGCCACTGCCACAACTGCAGCAATGTCAATTACGCCTACAACGAGAGCGCCCACAGGCAAAAGATCCGAATTCAATGACCATGAAAGCGACCCTTCACTCCTCGCAATCAATACCCAGAGCTGCTTCTTCTAAACCCAATCCAAATCTTCTGTCGCTGCAGCAGCTATGTTCGCCACCGTCGGACTTCTGGCCGCCCAGTCTTTCCCACCGTTTTCAGCTCCAGTTTTGGCGCCCCTTCTGACATGGGATTTGCGTTTCTCGAGAAAGGCAAGTCTCACTTGCATTTCAGGTTTGACTGGAAATGTGATAAAACACATTTAGCAAAAGTGCTTTTTATATTTTCATCCAATACCCAGCAACCCACCAGTCTCATATTTTTTAAAATGCATGTGCCTACTTACACATTTCCGCCATTTACCTTGATAGTTAAAAATTGCAGCAGCATGCAAAGGATTTCTGCCATATGGGCCGCTATAAGCTGGCGATGTGCAAGTCGTCACCATTTTTTGCAAAGACGACTCATGCCCGCACTCGGCCGCCAGGTAAAGCGGCGTCTCCCCACCTTGATTCGCCGGGAATGGGAACTCACAGTCTTCTCCGACCAAAATGTTGACGATTTCAACGTGACGGTTCCTCACCGCCATGTGCAACGCCGTGTCGTCCACATTATCACTCATCCTCAGCATCTCCTTCTCCAGGCTTATTCCGGACTCACCACCACCGCCGCCGAGTCTTTTGGCGCATTCCAGGAGGGCCTGGACCGCATGCAGGTGCCCACCTTTTGCTGCGATGTGAAGCGCCGTCTCTCCTTTGGTGTTCGCGCGTGTGAGAAGTGAGGGACACAGTTGGAGGATTTTCGTGGCGGTTTCCCCGCGGCCGAACGTGGCGGCGACGTGGAGGACGGTGTTGTTGTTCAGCGTCCGTTGGGCATCATTGTCGATTTGGTCCTTGAACGCTGTTACAGCAGCTCCGGCCGAGGTGGCTGACCCTCTCTTTATTTCCTCGTACAGGCGGCGATCCATTTGGCTCTGATCCCTTTTTTTGGTTTAATAATTTACTACTGATCTGACCAGGCTTTGCTATCCCATATATATGCGCAGGCTTTTTGCTTATTTATTTTGCCCCCTATGCTTAGTTTACTGGTTTAGTAAGCAGTATTTGGGAATTAGCTGGAGCGTTTTCTAATCTTAGCCTTCATTTTGTTAAACGCTCTGCGAACAAGGTTGCACACGAGGTAACTCAGGAAGCGGTGTTTAAGTCCGACTGTGTGGACTGTTTTTCAGTCCCTTTTTCTTCTGTTGTTCATGTTTCAAATCTTGACTCTATTTAATATATTGTCATTTGTCTATTTAATAGTTGATTGTTGTTGAAAAGTAAATAAATATTGCAATTTTTTTTTTTTTTAATTATGGTTTACATAAATCAATAGTTGATTGTACTATGTTTCACTTTCTATACCCTTTCTCTTCTTCTTGAGGCAGTATAAAGCAAGAGATCAGATGCAAGACATCAATTATTCTGTTTACACGTTACTTTATATGTTAAACCGTACAGTGAAAACATATATTTGAAAAGTACAAATATTAGTTTCTTTTCATGTATATATACTTTTCTTTACTAGGGCAAGCAAAGTAATTTCGTAAAGTGCAAAAATTTCAAGAATAGGATTATTGTCTTCCAAATTCTGGTAATAACTTTATTACAAAGTAACTAAAGTATCAGACCGATAGAGCATTTGAGAGGATGTAAAGACCGGTGCTCACTGCGCACAAAGAGTCCCCCTCACTTTGAGAGGTTCCTGGTCATTCTTCCAAAGTTTCACCTCTATGACCAGTTGAGCTACCAATGCGGGCATTTTGGACATTTTAATTATGGTTATTAATGGAGGATTTGGGTTTAGTTTCATAGAATGATTGGAGCCAAGGGTATAGGTTAGACATAAGGAACCAAGGAGCTAGGGGTGTAAGTTAGGCCTAAGGATGTTGGTCTAAATTTGATAGAGTAAAACTCTAGGACGGGATGGGGGGTGGGGGGTTTGTGACTTATTTTGTTTATAAAAAAATAAGTTAGAGTCAATTAGCTAGAGATTTTTCACTTAATTAAATAAGTTGTGTTGGAGATAATGAACCACAATCGATTTAATATCCCTTAAAATAATATTTATATATATACACACGAAATATATATAAAATATTATTGGATATATATATCCGAAATATATATATACACACAAATATATATAAAACGGATCCAAAGGTTATATATACGTATATATCTACGAGAAAGATATAACAATATATATCAACCAAAATGAACTTATAATCCTCAGATTATAACTCCAAATCAACAAGAAAGAACGGATTTTTGCTTAGAGCATAATCCTAAAACAAGAAAGAAGGAGAAGAAGAAGGAAATGTACGAGTTAGGCAAGGTGCCTGTCTTTCCTTAAAACCTTATTTGCCACCTCCCAAAAGTGCTAGGAGCGTTGTGGCCTAGGTTTCCCAGGATAAAACGTACAACGGTTCGACGTTTGAGCACCCAAACGAACGAACCCGGCGAACAAGAGCACGGGCAAAACACAGCTTCAATAATGGAGTAGGAGCAGAATTTTTGAGAAGAAAAAGTGCTTATCTTTGTGTGTTGTGTACTCTCGTGTTCTTCCCTCACTAGTTGTCTCTCA